TGGTGGCACTTCCAGGCCACGTTGCTCCAGGGGTTCTCCAGAGCTCTCTGTGTTCCCTGTTCTTGGGAGAAATTCCAATTAAAATCCTTCCAGCCTGAAGGAAACAGCTGTGACGTGGTAGGTTCAGASGAGCCGAGCGTTGGAGGCGCTGCATGAGATGTTCATGTGGATTTTTAATTTTTTTTTTTTCCTCCCTGGAAAAACCTGGTTTTGTCTGCAGGGTGAAAGGCTGAACTGTGAACATCACTCCTATATGATGTTAGATCCCAAAAAGTCTGGCTGGCCAGATGTTTGAGGGCATGGACACCAATATCTGGGAGATTGGGGAGAAAGGATGGGAAATTGAGGAGGAAAGAAGGAGGAAAAATGGGGAGAAAGGAAGGAAAATTGAGGAGGAAGGAAGGAGGAAAACTAGGGACGAAGGAAAAAAAGAAAATTGGGAAGAAAGGAAGGGAAATTGAGGAAGGAAGCAAGGAGGAAAATTTGGGATGAAGGAAAGAAAGAAAATTGGGTAGAAATGAAGGAAAATTGAGGAGGAAGGAAGGACAGAAATTGGGGAGAAAGGAAGGGAAATTGAGAAGGAAGGAAAGAGGGAAATTGGGAATGAGGGTAAGAAGGAAAACTGGGGAGAAAGGAAGGAGGAGTGGAAGGGGAGAGCAGTGGAATGGGAGACCACCAGTTCATGGTGGCAAGGATTGGGGAAAGGGGGACCCCAGGACCTGCCATTCCCCTGGGAGTGCAGAGTATTGTTCCTGGGGRTTTAATGGCTGCTGCAGGGACCCCCAGGAGGGGACATTCATGGACCCATGTCCCAAATGTGACACCAGTGTCCAACTTCTGCTCGAGTCCATGCCCTTTGGTAGGTCCCTGGGACTCTTAGGAGGATACTCGGTGGATCTGCCTCCTTCCCCACGCTGCCTGGGCTCTGAACTGGCTCTGGAGGAGCCAAAATTTGGAGCCAGATCTGTCCCACGGGCAGCACAGGAGAGGCCATCGATGTAGGGAGAGCCTGGGGATCAGAGGATGGGCACCCCAAACCCACAGAGCTCAGAGCAGCCACACTGTGAGGAGCTCAGTCGCTGCTCTGGGGTGCCCATCTCGGTTTTGGGGTCAGCCTGGGGGCTGTGGCAGCGCTTTCTGCAGCCAGGTAGATGTTCCCACCCCAGCACCCCCACCCAGCCCGTCTGTCCCCAGCAAAAGGGACACGGTGTTCCCAGAGCCACCACGGGAACACGCTCGGGGGGGCTGAGGCAGCAGTTCCGGAGCCTTTTCTGGGCTCTCGTGCCCTTGGGCCCCCTTTCCTCATGAGAGCACCATCCAGCTGAGCCTGGCACGTTCCCCTGGGGCACAGGATGCTCTTCCCAYCCTCCTTCCTTCCTTCCCTCCTTCCTCCCAGCTCCGGGGCACGGCTGGGTTTTCATCACCGGGGCAGGAATTCTGCTGGGCTGCTGCTGCTGCCTCCTGACCCCTTCAGGGTGCACCAGCAGGGCACCCTGTGCTTTACTGGGGTGGAGCCTGTGGGGTGGGATGGGATGGGATGGGATGGGATACAGCCTTTGGGATGATGGAGCCTGTGGAGTGGGATGGGGTCTGTGGGGTGGAATGGGGCCTTTGGGGTGGGATGGAGCTTGCAGGGTGGCATGGAGCCTGTGGGGTGGGATGGAGTCTATGGGATAGGATGATGGAGCCTTTGGGTGGGATGGACCCATAGAGTGGGATGGAGCCTGTGGGATGGGATGATGGGGCCTTTGGGGTGGGATGGAGCCCATGGGGTTTCTGCAGCCAGCGCTGGATGTGTCTCCGGGGCAGGAGCCGAGTGTGAGTGAGGGCAGGAGGAGCAGGGATGTGCTGACCCCACTCCTTCCTGCCTGTGCTGGGTGTCAGGGCAGGAGCAGGGAGCGGGACTGGGCTGCCCAGGCTGCCCCTCCTGCCAGCTCCTGCCCTCACTGGACATTCCTGTTTCCCCTGTTCGCTGTGTGGGTACCTGGGGTGTGGGTGGGCAGCACCCGTGCCTGCCCAGTAATGTCCAGTTCAGGTATCCAGTTACCTCCATCCCCTCCTGCCCAGCCTGGAGCTGCCCTGCACCCCCTTTTCCAATGGAGGGGGTGCCAAAGGGCAGCAGGACCCCAAAAGCCCGGCCTTGGGGCTTCCGCGGGCAGATTTGGCTGGGGAAAGGGATGGATGTGCAGCGCTGGGAATGGCATTTGGGAATGGCTTTTCTGGCCAGGTTTTGCAGCAGGACAGACAGACAGACAGCCACACTCAGAGGCTCGTGTTCCATCCCTGCTGGACCCTGCTGGGCTTTACCCAAGGACCAGCACCCATGGGGTGACCCTCCCAAGGCTGGGGTGGGCAGGGTGACACCCTCACACCTCCGTTTGCTGATTTACAAATGTTCCTAACGCAGGTTTTAATTGGGCATTTCCATCCCTGGGCCTGGGACTGGGGGCTCAGAACCCTCCAGGGATGAAATCCAGGGAAAAATGTGTGAGGACATGGCACAGACCCTGTCCCAGCTCTGTGCCCCTACACACCAGGGGCCCTGCAGGATTTGGGGTCACCCCTCTTCCCCAAAACAGATGTGTAGGCAGCACTGGCAGGAGGGCAAAACTTGAAACCCCATTCCTGCAACCCAATCCCAAAGGTGACATCTCTGTCCTGCTGCCATCTCCTCACGTCCCTGAGCCTGCCTCTGCCAGGGAGCTGGGCAGGAGTGGGGGGTCTGTGCCTGGTGATTTGGGGTCCTGGGGTGCAGGGGGACCCAGCTGCTGGGCCCTGCTTGGTTGCATAAGCGCAGCAGCCACGGGAGGTGAAATGGGATTGCGAGGGATTACAAGGAACAGGCTCAGGCCGCTTGATTCTTGTTTCTAAAAGAAGCTCTTAAGCTGCTGTTGTTTTCCCAGCACTTGGGATTAGGGCTGAACCTTGTGGGGTGGCCCCCAGGCTCCCCCAAGGAACCCCCCATTCTCCCCACCAGCCTGGGGGCTGTCTGTGAGTGCCAAACATGAGAGAAAAACAGGGCTGGGGGGTGACTGCCCCTCCCTGGGCACCCCAAAACCACCCCCATCCCTTCCTCCTCCCCAGTTAAGGCACGGGGTGAGTGGGGTCACCACACATGGCTGGGGGTTTGGTGCCCCCARTGCAGTCCCCACAGGCCCTGGGGTGCTGTAGGAGGGAAATGGGATGCTCACCCTCACCCATATCCCCTTTCTTGCAGAGATCATGCACGATGTGATCCGGAAAGTGAAGAAGAAGGGGGAATGGAAGGTGAGCACCATCCCTGGGGGGCTGGGGAGGATGCAGGGAGGTGGGTGTAGGGGGAAGGACAGGTCCTGCTGTGCCCCTGGCTCCCGGGGTGCTGACAGGACACTCCCAGGACACTCCCAGGGTGCTGACCAGGCGCTCCCCTGCCCCCAGGTGCTGGTGGTGGACCAGCTGAGCATGCGCATGCTSTCATCCTGCTGCAAGATGACCGACATCATGACCGAGGGCATCACCAGTGAGTGCCCACCCATTCCCTGCCTCCCCTGTTCCCTGTGGGAAGGGCTGGATCTCCTCTGCACAAGGCCACAGGCGTCTCCAGGCTGGCACTGGGCGGTTGGCACAGCCCCCACCCATCCCTGTTGTGTTTGGGATGGAGCCACGCCACCTCCCATCGCCCATGGATGGCTCCTGGTGCCAGGCTGGAGTTGCCCAGGCGGCTCCTGGTGCCAGGCTGGAGTTGCCCAGGCGGCTCCTGGTGCCAGGCTGGAGTTGCCCAGGCGGCTCCTGGTGCCAGGCTGGAGTTACCCAGGCGGCTTCTGGTGCCAGGCTGGTGTTGCCCAGGTCCCTCCTTGCCTGCTGGGGCTGGAGCAGCCAGAACACCTTGTCTCCTGGCAGTGCCTCACTTTGAGGAGGAGGCCAGGTGTTGTTTTTTATCAGCCTGATAATGGAACAGCTCCCTGCAACATTGGGAAAGGAGAAGGAAAGCCTGGGCTGGATACTGGGGGATGTTGGAGATGGTGGGGGTGTGTTTGATACAGCCAGGGCTTCACCCCCAGGAGGGAGGATGTGAGGGATGGCAGTACAAGGGCACAGGCAGATCATGGCCCCTGGGACCTGGCTGGGGAGCAGGGACCATGGGGTGGGCAGGGACGRSTGCCTGGGGCTGGTTKGGACATGGAGGGATTGGCAGGGTTAGTCCTGGGCTGCTATGGGGTATCCACCAGCCATGGGGTATCCCACACCCATGGGGTATCCCACAGCCATGGGGTATCCGACATCTCTGGGTTATCCTACAGCCATGGGGTATCCCACACCCATGGAGTATCCCACAGCCATAGGGTGTCCCCCTGCCCACCCCCTCCCTGCCATGATCCCTGTTTGTCCCCTCAAGTTGTGGAAGACATCAACAAGCGCCGGGAGCCGCTGCCCAGCCTGGAGGCCGTGTACCTCATCACCCCCTCCGAGAAGGTGAGCGCCCTGGGGACATGGGGACACGGGGACATGGCCCCTGCCCGGGCTGGGGGCTGGGGTGGCAGCTGTGGGCAGTGTCCTGGCTCCAGGGGGGCTGCCAGAGCGATGGGATGGAGGGGCAGAGCTGGCCCTGGGCCACCTCGGGGTGCCATCCTGCCCCGTCCAGCTGCTCCTTCTCTCTTCCAGTCCATCCACTCCCTCATCAATGACTTCAAGGATCCCCCCACCTCCAAGTACAGAGCTGCCCACGTCTTCTTCACTGACTGTGAGTACCTGGAGGGGAGGGAGGGTCGCTGAAAGGGGCAGGCAAGCAGGGCTGGATTTGGGATGAGGGATGGATGCAGAGATGCTGAGCACCACCCTCCTCCTCCTCCTCCCCTCGCAGCCTGTCCCGATGCCCTCTTCAACGAGCTGGTGAAATCCCGCGCTGCCAAGGTCATCAAAACCCTGACGGAGATCAACATTGCCTTCCTCCCTTCCGAGTCCCAGGTGAGGCTGGGCTGGGCACTGGGACACTGGGACAGCCAGCTCTGGGGTGGGGACAGCCAGCTCTGGGGTGGGGGACTGCCAGCTCTGGGGTGGGGACAGCCAGGGGATGCTCCATGTCCCTCCCCAGCCCCACACAGGGTTTGTGTGATGGCCCCAGAGCTCCAGCTGGCTCCTCAGCTCTCCCCGTGTYTCCTGAGATGACTCCAGGGCTGATCCTGCAGGATTTAGCGGGTGCTGTGTCCTGGCCCCGTGCCCACAGCTGCTGGCCAGCCCTGCCACCAGCACAGCCACCAGCCAAGGGCACCAGGCAGCTGGCCCTGCTGGGGACAAAGGGACCACGGGGACACGGTGCCAGTCCTGCCTGGTGCCATTAACCCTTCAATGCTCACCATTTCTAGGCAGTGACCTCTTGGCATTTTCAAGTGCAGCAGATTGGCTGCTGGTTTTTACTGGGGGCACAACTGTTCCTGCTGGTCCCAGGCCTCTGTTGCCCCTGTGGCTGCTGAGGGCAGGGGTCTTCTACCTCCTCTGCTCCACTGAGGGCAACACATGGATAGGGACCATGCCATGGATATGGAGCTGGGTCCAGGGCTGGAAATCCTGAGGGATGCCCTGAGCATCACTGAGCTCCAGCTGCCTGGTGCCAGGCTGGGCTGGACCCCTCTGSGCATCAATCTGGTTTGCAGACCCAGCTGGGGTGTCCTGCAGGGCTGTCCCTGTGCACCCACCCCCTCTGACCTCCCTCCCTCGCACCCCCAGGTTTACTCTCTGGATTCTGCCGACTCCTTCCAAAGCTTTTACAGCCCCCACAAGGCACAGATGAAGAACCCGATCCTGGAGCGCCTGGCAGAGCAGATTGCCACGCTCTGTGCCACCCTGAAGGAGTACCCGGCCGTGCGGTACCGYGGGTAAGGCTGGCCTGGTGTCACYRGGTGTGGGTGGCACTGGCCTGGTGTCACYRGGYGTGGGTGGCACTGGGTGAGGCTGTGCTGTGCCCGCTGCTGGTCAGGGCAGAGGATGGACAGGGTGGTGGGATGGACAGACACCCAGGCTCAGTGGGAACAGGCTCAGACTCGATGCCCTGGAGAGCTGGGGGGGTTGGGACTCTAAAATCTGAGTGGCACCAAGGCCAAGTGGAGCTTGCCAAGGAGAGGTGGGAATGGCAACAAAAACTGCTCGGGCCCCTCATCTGCCACGAGGCAGGGACATTGCACAGGGAAGCCACCCCCTCCTCCTCATCCCATCTCCTGAGCTGTCCCCTGCCTCCCCCAGGGACTACAAGGACAATGCCATGCTGGCACAACTCATCCAGGACAAGCTGGACGCCTACAAGGCCGATGACCCCACCATGGGCGAGGTGAGCTGTGCTGGCCCTACGGGTGGGGGTGATGCTTCCCTCCTAAACCCCGCTCAAACTCTGCCCTGTGGCAGTGACAGACCCCGAGTGGGGACCCCAAAGCAGCCCCCTGAGTGTCTGTGGGGCTGAGGCAGCCCCCAGCCCGGGGCTGATGGCTCTGTGCCCACAGGGTCCGGACAAGGCTCGCTCCCAGCTGCTGATCCTGGACCGTGGCTTTGACCCCGCGTCCCCCGTGCTGCACGAGCTCACCTTCCAGGCCATGAGCTACGACCTGCTGCCCATCGAGAACGATGTCTACAAGTGAGTGCCGTGCTGCCCTCCCCACCAGACCTGGGACACCCCCAGGACAGCCCTGGAGCTGCAGTTTGGGGCTCAGCATCCCTCCATCCATCATAAACCATCCATTGGGAGACTCCAGTCTTCCCTGCAGTCTGGTGGGCAGGGCTGGGACAAAAAGGGCTTTTCCAGCCTTCAGCCCCTTCCCAACATTGAGTCCTTGAAGGGGTACAAGGAGGAGAGAGGTCAATCCCAGCTGAAATTATTTTGCTCCTGGCACAGCCAAGAAGAGCTCCCATGTCCCCCTGTGTCCCCAAACTCCCCAAGGCCAGGCAGAGGGGGGTCAGTGTGTCCCCTCAGCCCCATCCCTGCTCTGACAACCCTCCCCAAGGCCAGGCAGAGGGGGGTCAGTGTGTCCCCTCAGCCCCATCCCCACCCTGACACTGTCCCCAAGGCCAGGCAGAGGGGGCTCAGTGTGTCCCCTCAGCCCCATCCCCACCCTGACACTGTCCCCAAGGCCAGGCAGTGGGGGCTCAGTGTGTCCCCTCAGCCCCATCCCCACCCTGACACTGTCCCCAAGGCCAGGCAGAGGGGTCAGTGTGTCCCCTCAGCCCCATCCCCACCCTGACCCCCCTCCCCTGTGCCCAGGTACGAGACGAGCGGCATTGGCGAGGCGCGGATCAAGGAGGTGCTGCTGGACGAGGATGACGATCTGTGGGTCACCTTGCGCCACAAACACATCGCYGAGGTGTCCCAGTGAGTGTCCCCGGGGTTGGCTGCTGCCTGGGTGGGACAGTGGCTGTCCCACCCCGCTGTGAGGGTCCCCTCCCCACTCACAGCTCTGCCCTCCTGCTCTCCCCAGGGAGGTGACCCGGTCCCTGAAGGAGTTTTCTTCCAGCAAGAGGATGAACACGGGTGACAAGGTGACCTGACTGCATCTGCCGCGCTGGGGACAGGCTGGCACGTGGTGGGGACTCCTGAGGGCGTCTTTGCCTAGGGAAGAGGGTGCTCGGCTCCCTCGTTGTGGGGTGTTTTGGGAGAGCTCTGCACCCAGGGATCAGTTTGCCCCAGAAAAGGTCTGYGCACCTCCCTCAGCAGCTGCTCTGTCCCCATCCCCTGAGCTGGTGGCAGTGAGGGGACCCTGGTGGAAATGGGATGTAGAAGTGGCCAGGAGCTGAAAGGACCAGCCCTATACAGACAGACAGGGATCCCACAGGAACACTCTTAGGGGATTTGTCCCCACTGTGCCCCAGTGCTGGCCCCTCCCAGCTGCGGTGGAGGACACCTGGCAGTGACACGTCAGTGTCACCAAACCCCCATGGGGGGCTCATGTGGGGACAGAAGTCCTTGTCAGGATTGTCCCCTCTGCGCTCGTGGCCCCCAGGTCCCTGAGGGTGAGTGACCCTGGTGAGTGACCGTGTCCCTTCCCTCGCAGACCACCATGAGGGACCTGTCCCAGATGCTGAAGAAGATGCCYCAGTACCAGAAGGAGCTCAGCAAGGTATGAGGAGGGGCTGTGGTGTGGTCAGTGACCGGGTTCAGCTGGGACAGGAGGTGGCAGCTCCCCCAGAGGGTCCCTGGCCGCAGAGGGTGGTGGCACAGGGACCTGGGGCTCTGCCAGCGCCGCAGAGGTGACCACTCTTGTGTCCCCAGTACTCGACCCACCTGCACCTGGCYGAGGACTGCATGAAGCACTACCAGGGCACCGTGGACAAGCTCTGCCGAGTGGAGCAGGTACCCAACAGCTCCCCCATCCCCACGGGGACAGAGGGGCTGCAGCTCCACCCTGCCAGGATGGAGCAGTGACAAGCACGTGCTYCCCCCAGGACCTGGCCATGGGCACCGATGCCGAAGGCGAGAAGATCAAGGACCCCATGAGGGCCATTGTCCCCATCCTGCTGGATGGCAATGTCAGCACCTACGACAAGATCCGCATCATCCTGCTCTACATCTTCCTGAAGAACGGTGAGGAGCCCGTCTGGGCGGGGCTGGGGGCCAGCAGAGCCCGCTTTGGCCGGGGTGATCTTCCCTGACCAGCACCAGGCTGGGTGTCCTGAGGTGGCAGCAGAGTGGCCGTGTCCCCTGGGGGTGACATTCCCGAGGAGAACACCCTRTCCCCGTTGCATTCCCAGGAATCACCGAGGAGAACCTGAACAAGCTGATCCAGCACGCTCAGATCCCGGCCGAGGACAGCGAGATCATCACCAACATGGCCCACCTCGGGGTGCCCATCATCACAGACGTGAGTGTCCCCCTGCTGCTCGCCCTGCCCTCTGCTCTGGGGGTGGCTCTGTCCCCCCGGGGGGCCCTGTCCCTTGTCCCCCCGTGTCTCAGGCTGTGCTCTCCGTGCCCAGTCCACGCTGCGCCGCCGGAGCAAGCCCGAGCGCAAGGAGCGCATCAGCGAGCAGACCTACCAGCTGTCCCGGTGGACCCCGGTCATCAAGGACATCATGGAGGTGAGGCAGCAAGGAATCTGGGGAGGGGGCTCAGGGGGGCCAGTTAAAGTGGTTTTGGGGATGGGGGTAGAATTGGGGGGGTTTAACAGGAGCAGAGTTGGAGGGACCCCAAAATTTGGGGCTAGGGGCTCAAAATTTGGGGAGGGAGCTCAGGGAGCAGGGTTAAAGCGGATTTGGGGGAGGGGGAAGAATCTGGGAAGTTTTGGGGGGGTTTAGGGAGGTTTTGGAGGGGACAAGGCAGGTGATTCCAGAGCCACCCAGGAAGGGCCTGCAGGGAGCTGGAAGTTTCCAGCCCAAACCCTGACACTGCTCCAGGCACGTGTCCTCCAGGCTGCTCCTGCCTGGGGTTGCAGCGTGGCCGGGATATTTGGGGAGGCTCTCCTGGCTCCAGCTGGGGTACCCAGAATCACAAGATGTGTTGAGCTGGAAAGGATCCCCAAGGATCATCGAATCCAGCCCCTGTCCCTGCCCAGACCCCCCAACAGCCCCACCCTGTCCATCCCTGGCAGCGCTGTCCAAACGCTCCTGGAGCTCTGGCAGCCTCGGGGCCGGGACCATTCCCTGGGGAGCCTGGGCAGTGCCAGCACCCTCTGGGGACACAAGAACCTTTCCCTGMTMTCCAGCCTGAGCCTGCCCTGRCCCAGCTCCAGCCGTCCCAGCAGAGCTCAGTGCCTGCCCCTTCTCTGTGCCCATGAAGAAGTTGTTTATTTATCACAACGAGGTCTCCCCTCAGTCTCTGGTTCAGCCCAAACCRGGCTTGCAGGGCCCCCCAGCAGCACAAATGTAGTACCAGACTGCTTGGTTGGGTGTGTGCCACCGTGGCCACCAAGGCTGGGTGGCCTTGTCCCAGCATCACCCGTGTGCCAGCTCTGCCAGGGGACAGCCATGGCTCTGGACAGCTGGGCCTGTACCCCATGAGCTCTGTGCTTTGGGCAGACAGASAGATTTTCCAGGCATTTCTTTCCTCCTGTCCCGTTCCCTTCATCCCATCCTGAGGACCTTCTTCCCATGACCTGGGGATCCTGAGCTCCAAAAGCACTCCCAGCACGGATGTTGCACCTGCTCACAGTTTGGGATGGGGATGGCAGTGCAGTGCAGCTGCTCCCCTCGGATGGGCAGAGCCACAGCTCCCTCTGATCCCAAAAACACAGAGCTTGTGCTTTCCTTTGTCACAGCCCCCACCCCAGGGTGGTTTCACCCCCAGGACACCCCCCAACTTCATCCCCAGGGTGTCCCAGGTGGCACTGACCCTCTGTCACCAGGGAAGCAGCTGCGGGTCCCTCACTGGGGTGACACCTCCAGCTCAGCTCAGCTCAGCTCCTGTTCCTGAGCTGCTCAGGAGGGGAGTCCCGTGGGGCTGTGGGGCCAGGGGCTGTGCCTGGCCCCTCACTCACCCCAACCCCGTGGCTCTGTGCCCTCAGGATGCCATCGATGACAAGCTGGACACCAAGCACTACCCGTACATCTCCACCCGCTCCTCCGCCTCCTTCAGCACCACTGCTGTCAGGTGGGTGCCCCTCCCGCCCTGTCCCCCCTCCCCTGGGTCACTCAGCGTCCATCCCACCCCAGTTCTGGGGGCTGCATCCAGCAGCAGCTCTGGGACCTGCTCTGAGGGCATTCAGGCATCCTGTGCCTCAGTTTCCCWTCAGACACTTCGTGTCTCCGTTCCCTTTAGGCACTCTAGGTTGCCATTTCCCTTCAGGCATTGCATTCCTCAGTTTCCCTCTGGACATCCTGTGCCTCTGTATCCCATTAGGAATCCCTTGCCTCAATTTCCCTCCACAGACATCCCGTGCCTCAGTTTCCCCTCAGACACCCTTTATCTGTTTATCTTTAGGCATCCTGTCCTCCAGTTTCCCTACAGATACCCTGTGCTTCCATTTCCCTCTAAGAATCSCATACCTGCATTTTCCTTCAGGCATGCTGTGCCTCAGTTTCCCTTTAGCCACCCTGTGCCTCACCATTCCCTCATGGCATCCCATTCCTCAGCTTTCCTCCAGACATCCCATGCCTCAGTTTCCCTTTAGACACCTTATGTTTCACCTTTCCCTCATGCAGCCTGTGCCTCAGTTTCCCTCCAGATGTCCCATACCTCAGTTACCCTCCAGGCATCCTGTGTCTCTGTATAAGTTTGGGAATCCTATGCATCCATTTCTCCTACGGCATCCCATTCCTTGGTTTCCCTTTAGGAATCTTTTGCCTCAGTTTCCCATTAGCCACTCTGTGTCTCACCTTTCGCCCATGGCACCCCTTGCCTCAGTTTCCCTCCATACATCCTGTGCCTATGGTTTCCATTAGGAATCCCATGCCTCCGTTTCCCTTCAGACATCCCATTCCTCAGTTTTCCTCCAGCCATCCTGTGCCCATGCCTCCATTTCTCCTGTGGCATTCCGTGCCTCAGTTTCCCTTTAGGGATCCCKTGCCTCAGYTTCCCTTTAGGCACCTTATGTCTCACTTTTCCTTCATGCGTCCCATGCCTCAGTTTCCCTCCAGCCATCCTGTGCCTATTTTTCTTTAGGAATCCTGTACTTCAGTTTCCTTTTAGGAATTCCGTTCCTCTTTTTCCATTCAAACACCCTGTGCCTCAGTTTCCCTCCACACACCCTGTGCCTCAGTTTCCCTCCATACATGCCGTGCCTCAGTTTCCCTGCACACAGTCCGTGCCTCAGTTTCCCTGCACACAGTCCGTGCCTCAGTTTCCCTCCACACACCCCGTGCCTCAGTTTCCCTGCACACAGTCCGTGCCTCGGTTTCCCTCCCAGTAACAGCAAGCAGCATTCGCGGTTGCAGAGCTGTGCTTGCCCTGCTGCAGCAGCAATGTCTGTGTGTTTAATGAAGATTTAATGGGGTGCCCCGTGCCCGCCCTTCACCCTCCTCTTGCTCTCCTCAGTGCCCGCTACGGCCACTGGCACAAGAACAAGGCCCCCGGCGAGTACCGGAGCGGGCCCCGCCTCATCATCTTCATCCTGGGCGGGGTGAGCATGAACGAGATGCGCTGCGCCTACGAGGTGACACAAGCCAGCGGCAAGTGGGAGGTGCTAATAGGTGAGTGCTGGCCCCGGGCTGGGCCCTCCGCTGGCTGCTCATCCCACGCTCCATCCCGCAATCCCCGCCTCCAGATGGAAAGGTTTTCTCTYGTCACCCCGCTGTGTGCCCGTCCTTCCCCGTCTGGGTTGCATCGCTCTGAACATCCTCATTTCTGCTTCCATTTTCTCGTCTCCCCTGGTTGGTTTTGTCAGAGCGGGGCTGGGGAGAGGGAAGGAGGTTTGGAAGATCGGCTTGGCCCTGTTGCTTCGTTTTTGGGGAAGAAAGAAGCAAAATCGAGAGGGGTGCAGACAGTTTTCCAGTAGTGCAGGACACGCATCAGGATCTGCTTGGGGTCAGCTCCCAGAGGAGCTGTGAGTCAGGCACAGGGGACTGCGAGGTGTCAGCAAGGAGCTTTTAGATCCCCAAAAATTCCTATGGGAGGCACAGCTTGGATTCACACCTTGTAGGATGGGGGCAGGCGTGCTCCCATCTCATCTGATCCTGGATTCCTGCCTGGGTGCCCGCTGGAGCCTGTCCCTGGCATCTCACGGAGCAGCTCCCGCTCTCCATCKCCTCCTGCCACCCCCGGCCRTGTCCCCTGTCCCCRGCYGCCCATCCCAGCTCCATCCTCATCCCCTGCACGCGCCTGCGCCGCTGCGGCCGTCACTCCTTCCTCTTCCTCTTCCTCCCCCCAGAAGCAGCTGGTGGTGGTGGCGTGGGGGAGCCTCGGCGCAGCCGTCAGCCCCGCTCTGTTCTCCCGCAGGTTCTACTCACATTCTCACTCCCACCAAATTTCTCATGGACCTGAGGCACCCCGACTTCAGGGACTCCACTAGGGTATCATTTGAGGATCAGGCTCCAGCAATGGAGTGAGCCAAAGAAACCAAGTAAAGGCAGCTTACTGATGAAAAAGAAACTCTTCCTCCCTGAAGGGTTTTCTTTCATTCTTCCGGTCCTCCTCTCTTTTCTTTGATCGCTTTTTTTTGGGGTTTGTCGGGGTCTCTGATCAGAAAATGCTTGCGGTTCCTCCGCCCGGGTGGAGAAGCATCYGGCGTCGCTCCATCATCCCTCAGCCATGTCCCCCGGCCGGACCTGCCGGCTCCTTCATGCCATGAGTTCCCCTCGCCAGGGCCAGAGGGGTCAGGGCCCTACAGTTGTGTCCCAGGGCCGGGCAGGGGCACAGAGCTCCCTGGGGTGCTGCCCTGGGAGTGGCCGGAGTGGGGCTGGGGGAGAGGGGCAGCCGTGAGACCCCAGTACTCGTCCTGGTCCATCCCCACTCTGGGGCACTTTTGGGATCCCCCAACTCCAGGGTGCCCTGGGGCTGTGATCCCACTCAGCTCAGGTTTGCTCTTGGACAGGCAGGAGCTTCCCAACGTTGCAGACCCCAAACCCTTGTTCAGGGGTTCAGCTGCTGCTGGTTTCACCCGTGAGTGCCACCCTGGGGTGCCCCGTGCGCTGGTCCCTGCGGTGCCCGGGTGGCTGTGGGGCTGAGCGTGGGCAGTGTGGTGGGATCCTCACCAAACGTGGGGCAGCAGAAGGCRAGAACCCTTTTCCTCCTCCCCTGCCACCCCTCCCTGCCACCTGTCTGTCCCCAGGATGCTCCGTGCAGCTCGGGGGACCGGGGGAAGGTCCCTCCATGCYAGCTGTTCCTGCATCTCCTACCCCTGCACCCACCAGTGCCTCCTGCATCCCCCGCAGGTCCCAGAGTGACCCCGGTGCCACAAAACCCCTGCACAGGCACCTCTCGGCCCCTGCCTCATCCTGCCAGCTCCATCCCTCGCCTCCATCTCTCCTTCCCCGTCCTTTATCCCGTTCTCCGTGCCCCCACAACGTCCCCTCCGTCCCCATAGACTGCATTTCCTCGCAAGCATTTCCAGCGGCGTGGGGCCGGCGCCGCCAGGTAAGGGGGACCCGGGACAGCGGGGACGGGTTTGGCCATCCCAAAGCCATCGCTGATCCCTCTTCCGCCCCTTTCCCGCTCCTCCCGCAGGGTCCACGCACATCCTCACCCCACAGAAACTGCTGGACACGCTGAAGAAACTCAATAAGACAGAGGAAGAGAGCAGCAGTTAAAAGGAAACGCTGTCACCACTSGATGCCGACCCACGTCCCCGCCGGGCGCCCGGCCCCGGGTGCCACCCTGCACCCAGTGGGCCCAGCTTCTCTCTTGTTCTTGTGTTGATCCCCCCTCTCCCCTCCCAGCGCCTCCCCCATCTCATTTTATCCACAGGGAGGGGATAACAGCCAAAAAAAAAATAATATATATATATATATATAAAGAAAATGGATGCATTGTGTTTAAGAGAAAAAGGAAAAAAAATTCTATATATTTGTAGCTGCAGCTGTGGGAAGCGCCCAGGAGCTCATTGCTGAGTAACCATCTGCCCATTGCTAGTGAATATGGTGGGGAAAACGGCAGAACAATACATTTTTTTGGGGAATGCTCCTCTTGGGGTCCTGTGTGGATGGGAGGACGGATGGACGGACACCCCACACCGCTCAGGTGGGCAGCAGGCTGGGCATCACCGTCTGTCCCCTGGCTTTCGGGGGTGCTGGGTGCTCCTGCCAGATGTACACACCCACATCTGGCATGGGAATTGGGGCTGGGGGTGCAGCCAGGGCGCTTCACACCGTGGGAATTCCTGTGTGAAAAGGGACCAAACCGGTCAGAACGTGGAGATGGAGCCCGTCCGCTCGCTCTGCCCTGCTGCAGCCCTGCCTCCCTCTCTCTGGGAATTCCTTCCAAAAAATAAAGATATATATATATATATAAAATCAAAGGTTATTTTATATATATATATATATGGTGTGATCTTTTTCCATGGATACCTCTCTCCATCCATCCCCATGGAGCTCAGGCCCCATGCCCGGCTCCGCTCGTGTCGTCCCGTGGTGAAGCGTTTCTGAGCGTGCCGTTGCCCTGAGGCCCCCCCAAAAAAACCCTCTGGGGCCCCCCAAAAACCCCTCTGGGCCCTTCCCAAAAACCCATCTGGGCCCTCCCCAAACCCCCAAACCCTCTGGGGCCCCCCAAACCCTCCAGACCCCTCCCCAAACCCCTCCGGACTCTGTGTATATTAATGACTGTGTCTTGTGACGTTCTTACGAGCTTGGTGTATAGTGATTTCCCCAAACCTCGGATTTTAGTTGGGTTTTTATTTGACAGCCCTGGATTGCCCCCCTGCCCTCGCCATTAGATGCACTGCAATATTTTGGGGTCTATGGTTTTGTTCTCTTCCCCCTGAAGGCTGTGATGACCCCCTCTCTTTTCCTTCCCCAAAATTGCTCTTTCTTGCCTCGTTGGTGGTTAGCCCCTCCCTTATTTCCCTTCCCTCCCTGTCTGCTCCTTGCCCATAAAGTTAAATATATATTTTTAGGGCAAAGGCTGTATCATTGCACTGATATTTGTTGGTTCCCCCTCGGTCTCCCAGCCCGTTTCTGTTCCTTCTTGGTTTAGCAATGCAAATGCTTCAGGATCTTGTATGTTGGACATTATTATTATTATTTTTTTTTTCTGTTACAGTTATTTATATAAAAAATAATTTATCAAAAAGGAAAACTTTAAAAAAAAATAATCTAGTCTGTCTTGGAACTTGTTTACCTTGAAATTACTGGAATCTAAATGTTTGAAAGTGTTGAAGCACAAACATGTATCATCTCTGTATATCTGTTCTTCTGTACTAAAGCACTCGAGTGACTAAATAAAAGCGATCTCCATCCCTAGTGCAACTGGGGCTGTGCTCTGCTGCTCCCTCAGGGCCAGGAAAACGGGRAAAAGGCATGGGAAAATATTCCACCCGACCCCAAGGGAGGGACCTGGTGTGGTGATGCCAAAACTCCCCCGTAAGAGCGGCTCTGGAAAGGAAAATCAGCACACGAGTCATCCAACCGCGTTTATTTCCTTCAAAAATAGGTTTCTTTGTACAAAATACCACCTCGGTGGCTCTGCAGGGCGTTAAAAAATAGGGGATAAAGGGAAAAAAAACATCATTTGGTCCCGGCTACTGCGTTTGGGATAATTAACACACTTTCCACATGCTCCCATCACAGCCTGGCTAGGCTGGGAGTGGGTCACAGCTTCCAGCTTGGGGCATGAGCAGAGGCCAGCAGAGACACAAAAAAATCTCTTTAAAATCCCCCAGGCCTCTTTAAAATCCCCCAAAGCTCTCCAAAATTCCCCAAAACCACCCCAAAAGGGCAGCAGGGGGGGCAGCCCCATTCCCAGCCCCTCTAGGCTTGTGTCAGGATCAGGCTCAAGAACAGCTTGAAAAGCTCCAGTCCCGAGTTCCTCACTGATCCCACCCTCAAATGTGGGTGTTTGTACAGCAAATCAAAACAGAAATAAATACATTTGACACTGGCACTTCAGGTAGGTCCTACAGAAAAACACAGGCCGGGGATGGAGCAGGGGATTGGGCTGGGCCCATCCCAGGAAAAGCTGCTCTGACCATACCCAATTCCCTAAAAACATCAGGCATTTCCTCATGAGGAACTCAGCTGGGAGGGACAGACCCCACAGCTGCTTCGGGCTCACTGGGTGAATTCTCCACCAGCCCAAAATTCCCTGGGAATTCCAGGGAAAAAAACCTCAATTCCTCCCTTTTATTTGCTGCCTGGATGATGCTGTGAGCGGCCACCTCCAGGGATGTCCAGAAAAAAATCCCAAAAATGCCCTAAAGGTTGTGCTGGAAATGCAAACCAGAATATATTYATATATATGTATCTATATAAAGATATATCTATAGGAGCAGACATAAATCTGTATATACACAGATTTATATATCTGTCTCTCTAGATATAGATCTGTAATTTAATATATAGATATGTCTATATCCAGATATATCCATTTATAGATCCATATATATCACACACACACACATCACAGATCAGTCAGCGCTCAAAGGAGTGGTTCAGCTGCTTACTACCTAAAAAATTCACATGAAAACCACAGAAAAATGGAGTTTTCCCAGGGAGGATCCTGCTGGGTTCAAGTCCAAGGGCAGAGGGCGCAGGGGTTGAGACCTCGAGGAGGCCCAAAGGCTGGGAAAGGGGTGGAATAGGGAATGCCAGGGAATTCCAGGGAATTCCAGAGAACTCCAGGGAAATCCAGAGAATTTCAGGGAATTCCAGGAAAATCCAGAGAATTCCAGGGAATTCCAGGGGTTTCTGCCCACGCAGGCACAGAGGTAAACACAGCTGCCAAGGGGGGCTCAACCTATGCAGGGCCTGCACAAGGTCAGAGCATCCCCAGAAGTGCTTGGGTTGGGGTGGTCACTACCCCAGGGGGGGACATGGGGCCACCTCCTTGGTCCCAGGGGACGGTGCTGGAGGTCCCAGGAGGATCCTACCCACACCTTGCCCCTCCTGCAGCTCGGGGTGTGCTGCAAAGGGACAGACAGACGGACAAACACTGCAAGCAGGAAGGGATGGCAGCCAGGGCAGGAGCCTGGAGATGGCTCCAGCCCTGCTGGCCCCAGGTTTGGCAGGGAGCAGCCGGTGCAGGGATGCTGAGGGGRGCCCATCCTCCTCCTCCTCTCRCTGCCGTGGCASGGAGGGCTCTCAGAAGAGGCAGGAGCCGCGCAGACCCCGYGGCCGGCCCAGCTCTGCGGCCAGTGCCCGGCTCATGCGGGTCGTGGTCAGCCGGACGCTCTGGGCAGCCTCCACGGCCCGGCCCAGTGACCAGTTGAGCTCCTCCAGCTCCTCCAGGTCCAGGCTCAGGCAGCGGTGGTGGCCCCGGGGCCGGGGGGGACGCTCTGCCCGCCGGGTGACAGCGATGGGGACCCCGGCTGGGGCTGGGGCTGAGGTAGGAACTGCTGGCGAGCAGTAGCTGGGAAGGACAAAGGACACGGGCTCAGTGGCTGTGCCCCTCCAGTGCTCTGTGCCCCCACTACCCCTCATTTTCATCCCCTGCCCCATCTCCTCCACCCCCAGCAGCACACACAGACCCTTCCCCAAAGGAGCAGTAGCCCTGTCACCCCATTCCCCTGTCACCCCATTCCCCTGGCCAATCCCCCGTGGTGGGGACAGCCCCTGGCGGGTTCACCCCACACCCCTGAGGGATGCTGACCCCCCCTGAGCCCCCTCCCGGACCCAGGGCATCCTTACAGCACGGAGGGCACGTAAGGCACGAGGGGGACGGGTGCCAGGCAGACGGTGGCAGCGGTGGCAGCAGGAGCAGCTGCCAGGTACCAAATTCCGGGTGGCTCCGGCTTCTCGGCTCCAGCACTGGGGCCTGGGGGACAGGTGCCACCAGGGCCACGCTCTGCTGTGGGGAGGAAGGTGGTGACATGTCCCCAGCGGGGTTAGATGTCCCCAGSGGGGTTAGGTGTCCCCAGGGGCTCCCATCGAGTGGCAGCCCCAGGTGACACCACCCCCTGTGCCCCCTGGCACCACTGGCTGTCACTTCTGTCCCCAAGCAGTGCCAGGGGCTGAGGTTGTTCCCTGTCCCCCCAGCCCGGCTCCTACGCAGGGGTGAGCTGTGCCATGTGTCACCCTGGTCACTCACCGTGTGTGGCTCTGTCCCTGCTGCCCGGTGCAGGGGGGCCCAGGGGTGCCCGGCAGCTGGGGCAGGATGCTCTCCTGGGGGTGCTGTGCTGGGGCTGCCCCCCGAATCCAGCTGTGGAGAGAGGAGAGCGGGAATGTCCCATGCAGACCCCACAGGGCATTTGGGAAGAGCTGAGAGAGTTTGGGGGGGCTGATGGGATGGGAGGGGTCTCTGCACTGGCACCTGGGACAGGGGTGGGGACAAGTGGCACTGCTGCTGTGGCACCCAGGGGATCCCAGGGATTTCTGCCCACGTGGGGACAGAGGTGACAGAGCCATGAGGTCAAAGCACCCCCAGAGCTGCTCAGGTTGGTCCCCTTGGGGACAGCCTCGGGCCATGAGGGATGGGCTGGTTGTCCCCTCCCCGAGCCTCTCCAGGTAATTAATTAAAGTCATTATCAGCTGTTAGGGAAGGCCAGAGGAGCTGGAGCCACTTACCCGATGCYGTCCTGCCCCTGTGACATCGGGGACACCCCGGGGTGCCCGGCTCCTCTCGGGGTGCCGGGGTGGCACGTGATGTCCCCACCTGGTACCGTGTCCCTGCCAAGACCCAGCGTGAGCACGGCCCCAGCGACCCTCAGCCCCTGCCACCCCCGTCAGCAGCACCCACCTGTGCACTGTCCCCGAAATGTCACCGTCCCCGGGGGTGTCCCCAGGTGCTTCCGAAGGGGAGGGGGCGCCCGGGGCGCGGCGGGTGCGGGGTCAGACTCGGAGGCTGCGGTGGAGCTCAGGGAAGAGGGGTGGGATCTGCTGGGGCCGAGCTCCGGACCTGCAGGATCCACTCGGGGATGAGCACTGAGGGGTCCATGGGACCACCGGGACCCAGCCCCACGGTCCTGCAGCCCCAGAACACCCCACGGGACCACCGGGAGCCGGCCCCACGGTCCTGCAATTCCTAAACATCACATGGAACCACCGGGACCCGGCCCCACGGTCCTGCAATTCCAGAACATCCCACGGGACCACCGGGACCCGGCCCCACGGTCCTGCAGCCCCGGAACGCGCTGCTCCATTGGGGAGGGGAAGAGGCGTGCAGGGAGGAGCCTGTCCCCTCTGTCCCCACCCGGTGGGGTGGCCCTTACCGAGCTCCAGCTCCGGTCTGTCCCGTGGCAGCGATGCCGACCTCTCCCTCCTCGTGGCTGTGACCCCAGGGGCCACTCTGCCTCGCACCGGCGGGCCCGGGTCCCTGCGGAGGGGACAGAGATTTTGTCACCACCCCGACCCCTCCCTGTCCCCTCCACCCCCAGGTGGCAGTGCCCCCGAGCCAAACCCGGTCACAGCAGAGCCGGGGACAGGCTGAGGCTGGGACTGTCCCCACGCTGCCCCCACAGCCCCAGGTCCCTCCTGCCACCTACCCCGAGGGTGGCGCGTCCTGGGGGGACGATGGTCCGCTGGCCAGCGGCTGCCGGCCGGCCGGGGCGGCGCGGGGAGCGGCTCTTCCCTCGGGATAGCTCCGGGAGCGGCGCAGGCTCTCCTCCAGCCGCCGCCGCAGCCGCCACACCTCGTCCTGCAGCGCCCGGATGGCCTGGCTGTCCCAGGACACATGTCCCCGTCAGGGGGGTCACCCAGCACGGACCCCAACGGGATGGGGTGTCCTGGGGGGCTCCCCCATTCCCCAGCAGCTCCCCAAAACCAAGCCTGGGCTGGGCTGGGTTGGGGTTCAGTCTCAGCCACCACGTGGGTGCCTTTGGGGGAAGGGGGGGTCTCTGTGTCACCCGGGCCCGGTTTGGGGCGGTGGGGACACGGACACTCACTCGCGCTCCAGGCGGGAGCCCAGCAGGTCACAGGGAGCCGGCTCCAGGGACGGCAGCTCGGGGGACAGGAGGGTGGGGGATGGCGTTTCGGGGGATGGCAGGGGGCTGGTTGGGCTCCTGGCCATGGCCGCGGGGTGGCCACCGGTGCTGGCACAGCTCCTGTCACCCGCCTCCGAGTCCGTGTGAGCTGGGGAGGAACGGCAGCACGGTGAGCCGAGCTCAGGGCAGAGATGGGGACACASCCAGGCCAGCAGCACAAGGAGGTCTGGGAACCCCATCAACCACAGAGCCAGGGCCCCCCAGATCTCTCTCTCAGGGCACCCCAAGCCCTGTGCACTCACCGCTGTCACCRTCGGGGTCCGGCCCTGCCTCGCTGCCCGCGCTCTCGGCCCAGCGAGGGGGGGAGCTGCTCTGGGAGGGGCTGCTGGGGGGCAGCCGGGGTCCCCCCGCGCCCCCCTGCCCTCTCGGGGGGTAGATGCCCAGCAGCGCTGTCTCGGAGGGCAGCGGGGTGGTCTCTCTCTTCCGTGGGGTGCGGAGGGCAGTGGGGATGGCGATGGGGAGGGGGATGGACGGTCCCAGCAAGCCCGGAGTCCTGGGGAAGGGACAGGGCTCAGCCCTGGCCAWGGGCACCCTGCAACCCCCCAGCATCCCCTCCCTACTCCCCACACCCTCCACGCCTCTCCCTCCATCCCTGCTCCCCCTCCACACCCCAAATCCCGCGGCCAGAGGCGGATTCTGAAGGGCCATACCCAGCGCCGGGGCCGTGGTGCTCGGGGGTGTGCACGGGAGGGGACACTCTGCTGGCCTCCGAGCCCACGAAGCCGCTGTCGGTCTCCGGGGACACGATRCGCTGCTCCTGCAGACACCAGGGACAGCGGGGTCGGTGCCCGGCACCCCGGGACCCGCAGGGGGGCACGCACAGCCCCAGGGACTCACCTTGCGGAGCCCGTGCTGGGTGGCAGCGCTGCCCGTGCCACTGCTGCGGCGGGACAGGGACACCCGCGGTGGCCCGGGGACCCCCAGGGAGGGGGTGGCAGCCGCCGGTGGCTCCTCAGCAGCGGCAGGGGATGGATGGCCCCGTGTGTCCCCCAGGTTWGGGGGGCCTTTGGGGGGAAGTGTCGCAGCTCTTCTCTCCAGGAGGTGCCTGTGGGGACGGGGTGGAGCAGGAATGGTGGGTTAGAGCGACCCCAAATGTGGAGAAACATCCTGGCCCAGCTCTCCCCTGGATCCGTTAACTCTGAGGTAAAACTGGAGACCTGGAGTCAAACCTCCGGCTCGCCCTGCCCGGAGATCCTCCCGCAGCACTTACAAGGGCAGGGTCTGGAGCTCGGCCCCCTCCTCGARTGACCGTGTCCTGCAGGGGACCTCGCTGAGGCCACCGTCCCCTGCTGGGGGTGCGTCCACCTCCTCTTGGGACCCGCTCCCCGCCAGGCTCAGCCGCTCCAGGCTCAGCGACTCCGGCAACGACTTCAACTGTTGGTACCTGGGGGACCCGCGGGCAGCAGCGGGGAGGGGGTTGGGGACWTGCTCCGTGCCCGTGTCCCCCTGCCCCGCTGCCAGCGCACTCACTGCTCCAGCAGCTCCCCGAAATCCTCCTCCACTTGGCGCTGCTTGTGCCAGAGGGGCCAGGGCAGCRSCCCCGCCACCCCTTCGCTGTCCCCCGCTGTCCCCCKGGGAGCCTCCACCAGCGCAGGGCTCTGCTGGGCACAGCGAAGGGCGTGAGAGAGGAAACCCCCACAACCACAGTGGGGTGGGAGCCTTTGCACCCCAGCTCACCTCGGGGGCCGGGGAGTGGGCGGCCGGCGGTGGGGACGGGGCTGGGGGGCAGCGGGGTTGCGGTGGGGGCTGCGGGAGGGGCTGCGGGAGGGGCTGAGAGAGGGGCTGCCGCCTGCCCCCCGGCTCCAGCCGCTCCTTCAGCCCCTCCAGGCGCAGCCCCAGGCGGTAAATCTCCCCTTCCACCGCCCTGCAAGAGAGCAGCCATGAGCGCGGGGAGGGGACAGCGACCCGCGGGGCTCTGCGGGGCTCTGGGGAGGGGTCGAGCACGTACCGGTCAGGGTCAAACCCCCCCGCAGCCCCCGGCAGCAGCTGCCGGCCCCGAAGGTATTCCCGCTCCAGGGCATCCTGCGCGTCCTTCAGCATCCTCATCCTCTGCGGCACAAGGGCGGGGGTCCGAGCCTGCCCACCGGGCACCGGGCACCGGCACCCCCCGGTCCTGCCGCCCCCCYGGGCTGGGGTCCGGGCAGGGGCTGACGCACCTGGAGCTGTTCCGAGGSCGTGGGGGTCCCCGCACGCATCCAGCTCTCGAAGGATTCCACCTGGCCGGGGTCRCACGGGCTGAGCCCTGCCCTGCCGCAGCCCCCATCCCACAGCTCCTCCCCAGCTGCTCCCCCATGAAGCATCCCCAGAGACTTCTCCCCACCGCAGCCTCCTCCCCAGCATCCCACAACACTGCCCCACCCCACAGCTCCCCCTGCAGCTTCTCTCCCAATCCTCCAACCCAGTCCCCTTCTCAGTTCCTCCCATCACCCTCCCAACATTCTCCTCTCCACAGGCCCCAAACCTTCCCCCAAATCCCCTCTCCATAGCCCCCCCCGGGTAACCCCTCTCCCAGGGTTCCCAGAACTCTCCCCAAATCCCCTGTGTGCAGCCCCACAGCCCCCACCAGCTGTCCCCAAGATCCCTCCTCCATGCAGGCCCCTCAGCCCCCCAAGTCCCCCTCCACAGCCCCCCATGCCCCCGGTCCCTACCTGTGCCTGCAGCCGGCGGCTCTGCCCCTCCAGTGCCCGGGTCAGCCGGGGTCCCGGGCAGCAGCACAGCCCGGGGCAGGTGGGGCAGCCCCCTCCGGGRTGAGGGGGRCACCGGGGCTGGGCTGAGCTCCCCTGCTCTGACGGTGCCGGGGCTGCAGCTGCGAGTGACACGAGCACAGGTGACACCGCAGCACCGGTGACAGCAGTGTGGGGATGGGGCTGTGGATGGCATCCCCCCAGAACTGGGGCCGGGCAGGGGACAAGGACCAACACACCTGCACCTGGTGAGGTGGCCGGCGCTGTGGCCGGGGCTGTGGCCATGCCCAGAGCCGCTGTCCGTGCCTGCGGGATGCTGAGGGTCATCACTCGGCAGCCGGTGCCCACGGTTCCCATGGCCAGGCTGCGGCTGGGCTGCGGCGGGTCGGAGAACAGGCTCACCTGGGCAGGGAGAGCGGGTTCGGGCACCCAGCCTGCACCTCGAGCCACCCCCCGTGCCCCGGGGCACCCCACGGGCACAGCAGGTGGGTGGGGTGAAGGTGGGGACACGCATGCCGGGGTCGGGTGGCACAGCCCTGCCTCAGTTTCCCCACCCACGTGGTGGCACAGGGCGGGAGGTGGCAGGGGTGACACGGGGACGCGCTTCCGCCCGTGGCCGTGCCGTGTCACAGACGTGTCCCGCCACTCCGGGGACAATCCGGCTCGGCCACCGCCCCGGCACGGAGGGGACCCCGCCAGGCGCGGGGGGCACAGCAGTCCCCAACCCACTGTGGGCTTTGCGGTGCCTCAACCCCCCTCCCTGGGCTGGGATTGCTCAACCRCAGCTYCCCGGGAGGAGGAAGAGGAGGGGGRCGGGGSAGGARGACACAGCRAGGAATCTCAGGGARGKGGGAGCAGAGTGGGGGGASCCYCTCAGCCACCGTGCCCCCCACCCACCCTGGCGCCCAGGCGCAGCTGGTCGATGGTGTTCTCGGCCTCGGCGTACTTGGTCAGCAGCTTGTGGTAATCGTCCTGCGGGGAGGGGACAGCAGTGGGTGACAGCACCTGGCACGGGGGGTGCCCGCGGGGTGGGTGGTAAAGGGGGGGCGGCCCTGTGTGGGGACAGCAGGGCTGGGGGGTCCCGTAGGTGGGGGCAGAAACACCCGACCCATCTGTGCAGATGTGGCYCCTGTTCCTCTGCGTGGGACAGCCCCCCTCCTCCCAGGGGACAAATATCCCGGTGGTGAAAGGCTTTGGGGGCTGGCCAGGATCCCGGGGGACATGAGCATCCCACCCCAGCCGGAGCACTGCCCACATCCCTGCCTGTCCCTCGCTCCTCGTCAGCTCCACGCAGGACTGGAAAGGGGTGACCAGCACCAAACCCCCATTGGTGTCACCGAGACAGCGACACCCCCATTTCCCCTGCTCTCCCCACCCCGGAGACCCTCCCAGTACGCCCTTTCTGGCTGAACTGGGGGGCGCTGGGCGTTACCTGGAGCTGCTGCACCAGCGCGGTCGCTTGTCTGGGGGACCGGAGCTCCTGCGGCAGCCCGGCCGTGCTGGGGGGCTGCGCGGGGACCCCCTCCCCGCTGCTCAGCAGCACCTCCCGCACGATTTCGGCCGGGGATTTGAAGCCGATGGGGCCGCGGGGGCGGGCGGGCAGCACCCGGCCCCGGGGCGGGCGGTAGCTCTGGTCGAACTTCACCCGCGCCTCCACCTTGGACAGGTCGGGCAGGGGGTGGTTGAGCCGCCCTCGGCCGTACCGGGTGCCCTCGGTGCCCGTTCCCGAGGGATCCCTCGTCCCCTTGCCCCCCGTTCGCCTCCGGGGGCTGAGGGACCGCGACTGCCGGGGCTTGGGGGGCACCACGGCGGGCGCCGCTTTCTTGGGCACTCGGGATCTGCCGTGCCCTGGGCGGGCATTCCCGGGGTCCCGGGGCTCCCCGGAGGGTGCCGAGCCAGCGGGGCCGGGGGCTGGCAGCCCTGTGCCAGCTGTCGGGGGCTCGGGGACGGGCTCGGGGCTGGGGTCATCGGYGGAGAGGGGCAGAGGGAGGCTCCGTCTCGGGGTCCACTCCTGCCTGCACCCCTCGACGGTGTTCCCGGCCGGGCCCCAGCCCCGGTGCTGGCGGGACGGGCTGGCAGGGCCAGGGCTGCTGTCCGACAGCCCGGAGGTGTCYCCCCCGTCCGTGCTGCAGCCCCGGGGCCGGCAGAGAGCGCGGCCGTCCCGCAGCGCCTCGGGGCTGGCGCTGGAGCCCGAGCCCCAGCGGCCCTCGGAGGAGAGCTCGGGGTAGGGCTCCCCATCGCTGTCCCCCCCGGAGCTGCCCCGCTCCTCCTCCTCCTCCTCGGCCAGCTGCTGCCGTGGCTGCCAGCGCCCCTCCTCTGCCGGGGACCCCTCCTCCGGCTCCTCGCTGTCACCTGCAAAACAGCGGCACCGCGGGGCTGTCGCCAGCCAGACMCAGCCGCTGTCCCCGGCCCC